AAAACACTGGCTGAGAGCAATGGTGAAAAGAACTTTGGAGGTGTTCCTAATGATGAGATGGTTGCATTTGAACAGTTTGAGAGTCAAATATATTCAGTCAGTGGGTCCAAGTCTCAGTTAGAAGAGTATCTAGATGAAAAATTAGTGAGTTGGAAGAAAAATAATCATTTGAATGTTCTCGAGTATTGGAAAGAGTATTGAAAAGGCGAATGCGAGAAACGTCCTCAATTGTCGATGATGGCTCGAGATATATTGAGTATTCCTATTACTTTGGTGGCCTCTGAATCGACTTTCAACATTGCGGGTCGTGTGCTTGACAAGTATCGAAATCGTCTTCTTCCGAAGAATGCTGAAGCTCAAATTTGTACTGGTTCTTGGTTAGACGGGATTCCTTGTGAGTTGTCTTCTTTTTTTTCTTTATTGCTTTTTTGTATTGTTGTGGACTACATATTTTATCGCAGAATATTAATATTATTTTTTCTTATTAAATTCAGCTCTGGCAGACATTGAAGAAGGAAATTTATTAGTACATGATTTCAGTAATCTAGAGGTTTCTGAATCGGAAGGCGAAAGTGATTAAGGTAAGATTTTCAATCATGGATTTGATTAGGAAATTTGAGGTTCATTTCATTTTTTTCTTTTGGTTTTCGGTATTTGGTTTGGAAAACTATAAACTCAACTTTTTTAAAAAAAATTATCCAAATTTACTTGCAAGAAATGGCATGTTGGCTCTCGAAATATTGAAAAATATGACCAACGAAAAATCACAAATTCTCCTACGTGTGGTGGCTTCACACCAACGTTAGCCTAAATTGAGCTGATCTCCTTCCTCCTCAAAGTCTTAATTAAGCCTTCTTGTTTGCTCCTTTGACACTTTCAATTGATCTCAAATGGCTAAGGCTAAATTGTTGCTTGCAGTTCTTCTCTTTGTTCTTTTGGTCGATGTGAGTCCACATACATGATTTTGATATGTGCTTCCTCCTGTGTTTGCGTGTGTATTATATTTTAAGAGAGAAAAAGTATATGGTTTTATGAAAATCTAAATCGTTTAATTTATTTGGCAGTACAGATGCATGATTATAAAATCTGGAAATCATCTAAGGTTTTATTTTCTAATAGCTAGCCATATCTGATTATATATATGTCGTGCATGCGCAGATGGATATCTTCACTGGACAAGGAGTTATTGGGGTGCAAGCAATAGGTAAATAACTTCATAGACTTGCGTTTTACATCAATACCAATCAAAATAAGTGTCGACTGTTGGCCTTCTTGTTTTGATGATGTTTAACAAACAATTTACCACTAATATTGTTTGTCTAGTATTTGTGTTTTCTTATTTATTATAGACAAACAACGTAGTTGGAGGATGGATGGAATAGAGCTTCAACGATGATATCCAAAGGAGGTTGGCGGAATGTCGGTGAAGCCTTACAATTCAAGTTAAAGATCAAGTTCAAGCTTCATCCGCATGTGTACCAAGTTGAGCTACAATGGAGATCAAGATCAAGCTTGGGTAATCTAGTTTAGATTTTATATTATGCGTGTTAGATACTCTAAGCTCAATATCATATACACACATTTATTGGTTTCTTCGTGTGTGTGTATATATATATATATATATACATATGTTTTGGTTTCTATGCATATATATATAGTTATATATATACATACATAGTTTTTGAGTTTTCATATTTATAAATATGAAATCATATATTTTATATTTACTATTGTGTTTTTGAAATCATTGCATAGAATATGCAATTTTGTGAAAATTAAGTATTCTTAGTTTTTGGACTTAACAATAATCATATACATATTTTATTAAGTCTATATAATCATTGTGCAAAGTTTCAAAACATGATTTAGCCAAAATATCAAAATTCACATGTTTACATTTTCGTGTTTTGGCCTATTTTGCAAAATGATGATTTTTCTCATATGGGAAATGCAATTTGGAAAATTCTTCTTGTAACATGTTCATTTACATGTTTATATACATTTCCTAAAGTTTTATTATTTTTAGACTTCATTTGTTATTTTTAACAATTTTCCAAAGTCTCAAAATTCAGCTTTTAAAAAGCAGTTTTTTTTTCTGTAGTATCAGATTTCGGTCGACCGCACCGGTCGACCGCTCATATGTTCAGTCGACAGTAGGCAGCAGAGAGTTTGTCAGTCGACCGGTGCGGTCGACCGCGAGCTCGAAATTTCCATCGGTCGACCGCACCGGTCGACCGAAGAAGTCTCTGTCTGTTTTCTGAGTTTGGGATCTGAATCACGGTCGACCGTGAATATTTTCGGTCGACCGCCGCGGTGTCAGATCAATCTCAACGGCTATTTTCTTAGAGTCGTTGCAAAATGATTTTTTGGTCTTTTTCTTGGCTTTCTCTTTCCTTTGGGGTTTCATATATATACCCCCTTACCTCAGATTTTATAAGCAAGCAAGAGAATGGTTTAAAAGATTTTAACAAAAGTTTAAGCTTGTTTTAAGCTTGTTTAAGGGTTTGGTTTAAAGCTGTTTTGGTTTTCACAAGTTGAGGAGATTATCTTCTTGTTTGGGCTTCAATCTCCATCTTTCCATCTTGTTATCAATTGAGAAGTTTTCGAGGAGATTATCTTCTTGTTTGGGCTTCAATCTCCATCTTTCCATCTTGTTATCAATTGAGAAGTTTTCTAAACTCAAACTCTAGCTTTACATTTATATACTTGTTTGATTATCATTGCTCTTAAAGCTAGATTTTATATTTGAGTTTAGTTGATTTGATTTTATTTACTTATTGTTACACACACCCACATGAGCTTATTGTATTTTCATACATAGTATATTTGGGTTGGTGAGAGTTGTAACATTGAGTGTGAGCTTTCATTGTGTTCTCATCCATAGTAGAGAACAAACATTTATTATATTGAGCCTTATTGTGAGATTTACTTTGTAATACACTTGTACACCGAGAGAAATGTGTGGCGAGAGTCGGGGATCGTCCCAAGAGGAGTGACGTCGGTTGACGAACCTAGGAAGAGGTTGTAACCGAGCACTTGAGGGAGACACGTCTAGTTTAACACTTAAGAGGGTGTAGAGTGTGATTGCAAGAGTGTCTATTGTAAAGTTTTCGGTTAGCTAGAAAACCGAGTGTGAGGTGTAAATGTTATTCGGGTGAACGTAGTCACCCGGTTGTGATAGTGAATTTCTCCCCGAGAGTAGGAAACGGAGACGTAGGACGGAAGGTCCGAATTCCGAGATCATATAGTGTGTTTGAGTGTGCTTTGGCGTTCATTTATATCTATGTTCATTTCTTATACCGCCATTGTCCATAGCTCATTATTTATATGATCCACTATTTAGTTCATATTGTTTACCCATTGTGTTAGTTTACATATCCTTGCATATATCATATTGTATATCTCTTTGGTAGGATATATTATCTTGTGTTAGTTTATATATCTTTGCATATATATTTTTATCATATAGGATATATCTCTTTGTTGTTCATATTGCTTATCCTAGCTTACATATCTTGTTGTATTTCATACTTGCTAGGATAACTTATTAATTAATTTAATTGGCATTTTAATCGGATTAGATTAGCATAAGACCCTAATCACCCCCTCTAGGGTCTAACATCGACTTGGTTGGGTTATGAATCTATATAACACTTTGATGAAACTATATATATATGCATCATGTGTAAATATGTGCAGATTGCGGGTCGAAATACGAGTACAGATGCAGCAAGGCTTCGAGGCACAAGATGTACTGTAAGTGCTATTAAAATGCTTTTAGAAGTTTTAAAAAATGCTAATTTAAGGAAGTATAAATGCCAAAAAAACCCCTCTTTTATTGCTCTTATTTGTTTCATTACTATGACAAATATCATACGTTTGTGGCAAAATTAACTAATTCTATGGATGATTGATGCAGGGGAAATATTGAGGTCCCTATGGTAATTTTGGATTAAAACCCTTGCTATGAAGATGCATGTATGAGGCTTGCTTCAGTACTCTTAATGTTGCTATTAAGTCCAACTGAGTGTTATGTTTGTTTCGTGGTCTTTTCTTTCTTCTGTCATGATCTGCCTGAACATTTGAAAGATGGGAAATAAGTGGACTATGGTTGTGCTAATATTTTGTTTATAGACGAAGTTACTACTCTTCTAGTTTATCAAGTAATTAAGTAGATTGTCTTTACTAATCGTGATCGTGTTGATGATAGTTATGGTAGCATTTATATCATGTTATTGATCTTATACATCATATGTATATTTGTCAATAGAATTCTTTTGACTCATTTGTTGAATAAGAATTCTATTTCTAGTTTCTAATTCTCAAAGGATTCTATTTGGGCAAAAAAACTTCTAGAAAGTTGGAACAAAAAACCCCTCAAAAGGTTGTAAGAACCCAACAAAAAGTATGCAAAAAAATGCTCAAAAAAAGTTTGTGAAAAGCCCCCAAAAGTTTGCAAAAAGCCCCCTAAAATTTTATAAAAAACACTCCAAAAGTATTATATACATAACTACTATAGTTAAATGGGCAAATGGGTGGCCCGTTTATTAAATGGGCAGGCAAAAACCCGCCCATTTAGAAAATGTTAAATGGCCATAAATGAGTAAATGGGTAAAACATGTCCGCCCATTTATGGTCCGCCCATTTAATACCCAAACCCACCCATTTAACACCCCTAGAGCTAAACATGTCCCCAAGTGGAAGACAAACGTGCTATTAACCATAGTAACTTGCTCTGCAAGACTCCACTTGAAAATTGACAGAGGGTTTAAACATAGAAGTTAGGGATTTTATATTTATGATGTACTTTAATGTTTCTTCATCCATACAGGTTTGCTATAAAAGCTACTGTGATTCTCAACCTAGACCAATTGTAGCATAATATGAGCAATCTCTGCATCCAAAGGTGAATTTGTGAAACGCGATATAGACAGACATATTAATATTAGATAACTAGTATAAGATGAAATGATGAACCATGCAAATAGCTGTAAAGTTACCTGGGGAAGCAACATTAAAAGACCATACAAGGACTTCAATAACCACGTAAACTTTCCTGGTTCCAGGAGCTACAAAATCAAAAAATTCAAATTAACTTCAACAATTTCAAGCCAGCAATCGTGAACAATTTAACTTTTCTCATAGGGAAAAAAAACAGTAGCAGCGCTGTAAACAACTACCTCAAGAAGAATGCAGTCTGCTTATAAGAATAAGTAACTTTGAACTATTGCTTCCAACAACTTTTCTATTTCTCGCTATAATGGTTAAAAACAGCCGTGTATTTAAAATTAAGAAAACATAGAAATGACATTAGAAGTTGGTAAATTATATAAATCAGCATGGTAGAGCGTCAATTATTGTGGTCCTCTGTGATCTATGCATGTGATATTTCACAGCTTCAAAACAATCTATGAACTGTGTTTTTGTATTTTACCCTAATGTTGCTCCACTTTCTACTGGAACAAACAGAGGGGGTGCATACATTTACATGAATTTTTGATAACAGACTATCTAAGAACAGATTTGTGAATTTAAGAAATATAAAGGCCATTTGTTTCCCATACCTAATGCCAAGGATTAAGTAAGTAATGTGACACGAGTACAGGCTTCTCTAACATTTTTTGTCATCCCTGTTACTCTCTTAAATAAAAATTGAAAACAGACAGTAATAGTCATTAACTGGAGAATTTCCCGGTTCTTTGTATGTGCATCAAGAGTGGTGGCGAGAGTGAGTGGGATGGTATATTCTTGTCAATGGGATGGGTGGATGGGTGCCTGCATAGAGTTGGAAGTGCCTGCCTCTGGTTATAGATTATTACTAAGCATTTCTAAAAAAATTAGATGAAAACTACGTAAGTCAAAGCATCTAAAAGTGGGATTCAATCATAAAAAGGCTGTTTTGCTCATAACCTGGTAAGATAAAAAGGTAGTCACATACCACAAAATGGTAGCGGAAAGATATTTAAGTGACAAGAGCTTGCAATAAAACTTGCACATGATGTTAGCTGCAATATAATATAGACATAAATTAAGCGCTCTTATCTATACTTGTGTGCACATAACATGGAAAGTAACTGTTAACATTTTAGTTCATTGAAGTAGCAATGCATGTGGACAAGGTGGAAGCTTAATCACCATAACTTCCCGAAGCCCTCATTACAAGTTTGCTAATATTTTTCATCATGTTCATTTTACCACTAATTGTTATACTCATTTGATGTCAGTGATCTTGCACAATGTCAATTAAGTGGTATACAGGTCGAGAAGTTCAAAGTTCAAACTCAAAAGCTCACTTGACCTGTAAAATGGTAGGAGAGATAAACTAGTTAAAGCAGTTAGAGGTACACACCTGAAATCTTAGATAAACAAAAGTTGGAGTCTCAAGCAAGCGGATGAGCTTGTCCAATTGTATCAAGAACTTCTCGTTTATGTCTTCTTCTCCAAGAGACTGAATTATGGAACCAGCATGACTATATGCCTTTTTATACATGCCATATAGCCAGAAAAGGTGAGAAAAATTGTCCAACCAGAATGAGCAAGGAACCTCAAAAGAAGAAACATACCTGAGCTAGTAGACACAAACAAATTGTTGCCATTGGTGAATGGCACCAAGAAGAATATAAAGAAAGAAATAAGTCTCTGCCAGCATTATTCACCAGCGACTGGTTTAGGAGTGAACGTAATCCAGCAAGTTCCGGTGAAGTGAGTAATATCAAATTCAATGCCTAACCATTAAAAAGTCATTGTGCAATCATCATAATGTTCTTAAGGAAAGAAAATAAGATCAAACCAAGATACTAAAATATTCATTCAAGAAAGATAATAAGCTCAAACCAAGCAGACGGGAACCTGAACCATAATGGATGCAAAACCCAAGTCATCTTCACCCTCTAGAATCATAGAAAATTCACGGTATACTCGTTCTGCATCTAAAAGTACACAAAGGCGACGTACTATCAATGCACCACGCCTGTGTTAAGTCCAGAACAAGGTCTTTGTTATAGACGAAAGAAAATGATAATTCCAGTTCTAAAGAAAGTGAAGATAACACAAGGGAAAATAACACAACTTTAGTAGCAGAAATGAGAATAGCTGTACTTTTCAAGAAGCAAGTGATTAGATCTGAAGGTGTGCACTAAGAAAACAAGAAGTTGGCGAAAATGTGAAGCATCTTGCGCGATAGATGCATGCACCTCCAGCACTAGCAGAACCACCTGAGAAGGAAAGGCATAAGAATTGTGATTTTAGACAATTAAATAAGAAATTTCAGATGATAAGCTTCATTTTTCAGAACCAATTATAGAAACTTTAGAACTGTATCAGACTTCACATAACTTTTTATTTATAAATGAAAAAAGGTTAAGTAAATTGGATCCTTTTTAAATTTGTATAACGTAGAAATATCTGTTTCCCTTAGAATGCCATATAAATACATGTAGCGCAGGAAAAAGGAGAAATGTCCAAAGAGTGTATAAAATACTGGACTAATCTTAAGGCTACAAGTCCAGGCTTCAGCTTTCGTTCAAAAAGTAAATGAATAAATAAAGCAGAAAAATCTTGTGACAAGTTCTAAATGTTGGTGAATGGAAACCTCTCTAAATTTTGGGTACTTTAACTGTGCCCCCTGCAATGTTGCCATTTAACTCTGATCTCTCATTACATGTAAACTCAAAACCCTCGATAATACCATTATATCTTGCCTTCACTAATAACATATTAACTCTCACTAGTCAAAATACATTCCATAAAAAAACCCGACCCGACCTCCCAAATTCCCATAAACTCCAGCCAATAGAAGAAGCAATAAGGAAAGCGTCTTTCAGTTGTACTTAAAGCCTTGTTTGTATGATCAACATAGCAAATCCTAAAAATATTTTTTTAAAAGGACGCAGCTAGCATATTCTTTAAGATTTCCCTTTTAAAGACATTCTTTTTTTCCCCTTTAAATTTAGCTGCTGCCTTTCATTTCTCACATATGTTCAACATCAGGTAGTATTACGGACAAGTAGGACGGCAATAAAATATATTAACATATTCAAAACAAAATAGGTTACTGTGGTCTCTGGCCCAATAACTATATATTAAAGATCGTTGATGAACAAGAATAAAGCTATAATAGAGGGGAAAAGTACCTCATCAGAAGGATCTGACAGTGCAGTCAAAAGGGAATCAAAGATGTCATTCAAGTGAGGAATAACCTGTTCAGATGGCATTTGAAAAACAATAAGTTACCAAGCAATATTTTCAGCAAAACGAAGAAAACCAATCAGGAACCAAGTTCTTTAATATTTCACTTTCAAGGTTTCACCTGCTGGTAAGTTGATAAAACTAGTATGCCGACATTATGCAAGTCAACATCAAGAAAAACAGATTTAAAATCAGCAAAAGACTGATGTGAAATGAAATGGTGATAAACTAGCCAGTGGATCTGATTTAGTTCACAGCAAATGCATTTAAACGGAATGAAACAAAGCCTTAAGATGAGATGGATAATTAAATAGTCCAGCATAAAATTTTGACTAGGAGAATGTAAGGACCCTATAATAAATCACACAAATAAGATGCTTCGTGGAGAGTATATAGGTTCTTCTTAAATATTCTGTTATCAACTTTTCTTTTACATGTATTGAAATTACCAAGGAAATCAGACTTTGTTGCAGTCATAACAGTTCACAAGGAGATCTAATCCAATTGCTTTTTATTTTCATAGAGAAGAGGTCAGAAAAGGCACAGCCAAACAACTCGAGTTTGCAAAACCTATAAGCCAATACTACCAAATTTCAGTAAGATGATGAAGGATATTTATTAGTGCATCATCACTTATCTTTTTCCAATTATTAATTGATTAAGTGAATTTTCGTAAAACCAACATAATCAGAATCCATAAAATAACTTAAAGACTGACAACAGTCCTAATAGGTGATAGGTGATTCCTACTGTAAATAGCCAAGACCATGAACTTAGGAAATAGCAGAACGCTTTATATCACAAAGATGGAGCCACATGCTAGGCAACAGGTCCCTATTTTGGATTTGAGCATCAATATAATCTGTTGATACAGAAATTTAAGGATCGTCATCTAGTGTTAACCAAGTTAACTCTTGACCCTACGCATATAACATATACGTGCTCTGACAATCTTCCTTCTTTACATAGCAAATCAACCATTCAGACTTCAATGAATAGCATTGACTAAATATAAACAACATTATACAAGATCAATCTCAAACAAAACATTTTTAAGGGGTTTTTCGATATTAGTCCCTTAAATCATTAGCATTTTGATATCAGTCCCTCAAATCTTCATATTTTGATATTGGTCCCTTAAAAATCATTAGTGTGTTGATATTAGTCCCGTAGTTAGTTGATGTTATAACTTTAGGAGAATATTCCTTTAACTCTAACGTTTTTGGGTGGACTGACCATTATAGCCCTCTGATTATAAACCCAAACCCATTATCTATTTAACTCATACCCCTTTACAACCCTCAAACCCATTAATTACAAACCCAAACCCATTTAGACCATTATCTTCTTCCTTTCATCCCTTTGATTTTAAACAATTATGGGAAGGGGGGAGATTTTGCTCAATTGGGAAGTGTTGGCCTGTTGGGGAAGAAAAAGATTGAAAGCATCCAAATTCAAGGGGTTAGTTTGGTAACTACCCACCTAGAGTTAGCACTAACCTAACCACAGGTCATCATTTTTAACCATGATCTTAACAGAAGGACCAATATCAACAACTATAGTGAAACTGAGCGACTAATATCAAAATATGAAGATTTGAGGGACTAATATCAAATTCACTATGATTTAAGGGACCAATATCGAAAAACCCCCTTTTTTAACCAAAACCTTAAATCTTGGAATAGAAAGCCACCATGTGAATGCTGAAAAATAGTAGAACTATAGAATTCTTAAAACTATTCTCATTCACAAAGTGAAAGCGGAAAAAAATAGAATAAATATATAAACAGTTGTTTCACAGACCTACAACTAAAGTGTATGGTGCATGTTATCGAGACATTTGTAAGGTAGATAACACTTCAAAGGGTTTTTTTATGAAAACCACCTTTTAAAATAGGTCGAATCGATAAAAAACAACCTTTGAAGTTTTTTTAATATGTAAGCCACCTTGTAAGAGGGTTTAATTTTCAGTCAACCATTTTTTGTAAACTTTTACTCAATTAACACCTTAATTACCCAACTACCCTTACTAATTACACGTGTAGTTGGGGAATATGTGTTAAGACACGTGCAATTAATCTGTAGTTTGGGTATTTTGGGTTATTAGTTTGAGCAGAAATTGACAAAAGGTGGCTGATTGAAAAATTAAAGCCACTTATAAGGTGGTTTACATATAAATTTCAAAGGTGATTTCTATAGATTAGACCTATTTTAAAGGTGGTTTTCATTGAAAAAAAACCCACTTCAAATAATAACCAATTACCTCAGCTTGATAACGGGTCAAAAGCGCACCAATCCAATGCAATGCTTCAATTCTCGTAGCTTCCCATTCACTAGTCAATCCTCTGGTAAAAAACAATTAGCAAATCAATGCTATGATGACATCATGAAAATTGTATTAATTTAAACCTTTAGGAGTATACAAGGCATAAGGGCACAAATTTTTTGAGTATCATATAACCTAAATCTGTTTCTTAGTAGCAAGAAAAGCACCTCCTTGAAATGGAAAGCATAGCTCCTATGTCAAACCCCTCTGTCGGATCAGCACGAAGTGCACGAAGCTCTTCATTCGTTTCACGTGCAACCTAAGGATTACAGGCATAAGAACTTGAGGAAATCCAAATATGCAACTATTGATAAGAAAGAGAAATAATAAGTTTACCACTCTTATTTTTTCCTCTTTATCGGATATCAAGGGTAATGTCGCCCCTAAAATATCAGCATAGTAAGGAACAATTTGGTCTGCAGCAAGCCTTATAAATTCATAGATCTGCAAAGTTCAGTATGTGCAGCATAAATATCAAAACTTTCAACAGAGAAGTAGCATATGAGTCAATTCTTTAAGTAATCATGTAGTCAGCTCTTTTTTAAATGATCAATTAATACAGAAAAAACTTGGACAGAGTTACCAAGCCCAGACTTACCCATGTGATAGATGTCAGCCGGGTAAATTCATCGGGTGAACTCGCCCTGTGCACCAGTATTTCAGCCATGCGACCAAAATCTACATTCTTCAGGAAAGCACTTGAACTTTAGAGTCTTGGAGAAAAAATGTAAACAAATATAGTACTAGCTTATCAGTAATAGACGAAAGACTACCTATTGCAAACTTAACAGTTTATGTTAGTACAGAAAAATGCAAATGTTCAAGAACCATGAAGGACGACATCCATAACAATAGAAGCTTCTCATGTAATTTCACTAACGTCAATTTATTTATCATTTTATCTTATTTATTTATTTATTTTGACAAGGCATGCACTTCCTCTTGCATCCAAGGAGCAATATATCCAATCAAATAAGTCAATAATAAGAGATGATGGCTGTTTGCTTTAGGAAAATAAAGTCGACATGTAAACCGATCAGCCAAATAGCAAAAAATTCCCAATCTTATACCAACATAACTTGCTTAGCAAAACTTATCTTACCGGATTGCTCTTTATTTCATTCAGGAACTCAGAAAGTGCAGAATCAGCTTGCTGCCTTATTTCATGGCTGGAATCACTTAGCATGTTGAACAAACCTACAGTGTTAAGTATTTACATAAGGTGTGTCTTCCACAAAAGTGCATGATTTTCAAGCTAATTGGAAAACTATTACCATCAAGAAAATCTGGAAGAAACCCGAGCATGTCAATTTCTGGAACACTGTCTAACACAGTGATCCATCCCACTAAAAACTGGCGAACATAAGGGTTAAGCACATTCATTCGTTCTCTCAGAAGAGGTATAAATTCTTCAATGCTGTGAGAATCAAGAAAAAATCAAAATAATTAGAATATATCCGCTAACAACTAAAAGCTAAAAAATGCCATACTACACCTGAACTGATCACCCTCAGTAACAATGTCCTGGTTATAAGATAAGGAGAAAAGACTTAAGTGAGGTACTAGATTTATCAAACTTTATTAATGACAGACAAACTTCAAGTGATATTTAAACCTTTATAAGCCGGTCCAAAAGATGTGCAGCACTCTGCACATTTGCATCCGAATCTGCTGAGAGCTTACAAAGTGCATCAAATATGCTATTGAAAAAAACAATGAATTCTCCCCTCACAACCTACACAACAGCAGAAGGAATGGATTAGACCTGCTTGAAAGAATACATTGCTGAAAGAAGAAAAAGAAAAGAAAATATCAACAAATCACGTCTAGTAGACTGACCTTTGCTATGTTATACAGAGCTTCGCAAGCATAATATCGAACTCTGCTGTCCTGGTCAAGGAATGAATTAAGAACAGGTGGAACAATTTCCTGAAAGTTAAAGTCAATCAGAATATAGGATTTGTATATGCAGGATTTATATGAATAGAATATATAAACAGTCCAAAATAGATTTGCAGGATTTATATGAATGGAAGATATTAAGAGTCCAAAATAGAGATCCGCCAGATATCAGGATTTAGGATATCAGAAAATACCACAGAAAGGAACCAGGAAGCTAACTTTTTAACATCATAAAATTCATAACTATAAATAACTTACTGTAAGATCCATCAACTACTATAGTGACTGTTTCGAAATCTTAACGCAAACTTGGCTAGCTCAAGGAAATGTCATGGAATATGGATTAAAATCTCCAATAAATCGGATAAGTTATTACATTGAACAAAATAAATTCCGTCTTTTCCACAGGCCTTTAAGCATCAACATTTTGATGTTTTATATCATGAAAAATGTACTACCAGTACTGGAAATGGGTTTTCTTACTATTTGTGATCATTAAATATATAAGGCAAGCGATTTTTCTACTTCAAATGGTCTAACTCTAAGCTTGAGCAGCTAAATCAGAATGTATTGATGGATGAATGGTAGAGAGTTAGCTTCAACTGAGGACCATAGAAGCAATCAGGAGAAGTCATGGACCTACGAATAAACACAGACTGAGGAAGTTTACAAGCATGTGACAACGGTCAATTTTTCACACAAATGAGGGTCCCTTAAAAGAAAGTTGAAAAGAAAATTACACACAGTCACAAAATACTTGGATAAAGGTGTGAAACGTGTGTTGTTGTCATTGTTAGTTATATAAGTCCAAGACTGATGATATTTCTAGCTCATGTTTTAGCTTCATAACCATCTGCAGCAGAACTTCATCATGTAAAACCTGATACGGAGATAATGAGTTGCATGAAAAACATCAAACCTACATGTTCAGTTTATAATGTATGGCTGGATAACCAAGATAGTTGACTCAAAAAAGCAAAGTACATTTTCCGTAACCATTTCTCAGAATATCTCATTAAAATCAACTGGCCTAATATTAATATTTCATGTTCTTCAACGTGTGCAAGTCTATGAAGCATTTATTGATGATGAACAGAATTTCAGGCTATGTTGTTGAGGGTACTTCTACTGTATCCATACATGACATGTATCGTACCCATAGCAGACACCGATGTTCCTTGACACTCCTTAATATATGCATATAGTTATTTAGATGTGTGCTCAATTATATAATAGATGTTTAAATTTAAAAACACTAGTCATACCTTCTGATATGTACACTTCACATCCACTCCTGAAACTCATTGGACATGTGTTGGGGGTTTGTGTCAGCCCGTACTCAGTTCAGACTATGATTCTAAAGGTTGTTCTGGTATCTAGTTCAAAAACCACAGTTTTCCAATTTATAATCTACATAATAGAAAGAAACATGAAAATCTTATAGGAATTTTAATTCTCATAACAAGAGAATGGGAAAAAAAATATTGATCTCATAATAATTAATTTCACTTTCAAAATATATATATATGGGTTTCATATCCTACCTTCTACATCTACAAATTTGTTGTGTGACTCAGGTATCTAGTTCAAAACCCACAGTTTTCCAATTTAGAATCTACATAATAGAAAGAAACATGAAAATCTTATAGGAATTTTAATTCTCATAACAAGAGAATGGAAAAATAATAATATTGATCTCATAATAATTAATTTCACTTTCAAAATATATATGGGTTTCATATCCTACCTTCTACATCTACAAATTTGTTGTGTGACTCATGAATCCCGTACTCATAAGTCTTTCCATGCAACAAATATTTCAAGTAATTCTGAGACTGTAAGACATCAGGATAGCATGAAAGCTTTCCCACAATAAATGCATCGTGTCCTTGTAGATTTTTTATACTGTCATCTTTGTTGAATTTTTTCAGACATCCTTCTCAAGAACTTTGGAAACTACAAATAGACACCTTTCATATTCAAACAGGTAACTCTTGTTCACAAGATGAGTAAGGGCTGATCTTATTTCTTTATTATTTCCATTCAGAAGATGATCAAGGGTTTGACTTTTATTGATAACGTGAATACTCATGAGGTCCTCATCTTTATGTTGCTTCACATTTTCTCAAAATATGGCATACTCACTTTACAACAAGATTAAATCAACAAAAGAAATCAAGATACATTTTTCCATGATAGAATGTGCTAAATATATCATTCTCCTCAAGTCCGCACTACCTAACTGCTTCATTCTTTTCCCATTTCTTTGCCTCAAAATAAACTTCTCGTCTGCTATGTAATTAGTAAATGCAAATATCATATCCAGGTGGGTAATTCCTTTCATAAGATATATAAGCAGCTAATCTCTAGCCTAGCAATATTGAAACTATAAAAACTGTGATCTCTAAGAGCTCATTTCAGGTAAAAGTCAGAACAAATAAATAAACAGAAGTTATCAGCCTCACATGTCCTGAATTATCCTTTGAGAAGGGAAACAACCATGATCCATCTATAAGTTCATGCATTTCTTGTCTACCTACAATAACAAATAATCTATCCACGAAGATAAATTCAACAGAGAATTCAAGAAACATTTAACCAAGAGATAAGTGCACCAAACAAATTCTTGAATAACACGCCACCAGATAATTTATTTCATTTCATTTTATCCCATTTCTTGCCGTTTGGATAGAGGGTAGAGAGGGGGAAGGGAAGAGAAATTTCATTTTAATCTTGTTTGGGAGTTTTATTTAGGAGGGTAAAGGAGGAGAATGGAGAGGAAATTTGGCCCAAATTCTTACACCCCAAATTGGGGTGTAATGGAGGGGAAGGGAAGGAAGGGGAATTTTTCCCCTTCCTTCCCTTCCCTAATGGCATGTTTGGATGGATGGTAGAGAGTGGGAAGGGAAGAAAATTTTCATTTTAACATTGTTTGGGAATTTCATTTAGGAGGGTAGAGGAGGGGAATAGAGGGGAAATTTGGCCCAAATTCTTACACCTCAAATTGGGGTGTAATGGAGGGGAAGGGAAGGAAGGGGAATTTTTTCCCTTCCTTCCCATTCCTTCCCTTTCCTAAGGGCGTGTTTGGATTTCAATGGAGTTAAGGGAAGTTAAGGGAAACTAGGTGAGAGAAGAGAAGGGAAGGGAGTTCCCTTCCCCTTGGTTACACCCCAATTTGGGGGTAACAAATTTTATACTATTAAGGGGTGAACTAAGGGGAACTAGGATGAATAACTTCACCTCCTAAATATTCCCAAACAAGGTGAATGGTTCCCCTAACTTCCCTTCTCCATTATTCCCCTCAATCCAAACAAGCTCCAAGTAAACTCCCTAAGTAAACTCCCAAACACACCCTAAGAATCCATCTAAGTTTCATGTATTTAATTATCTACAGCATATTTATTTACAGTGTGTCGATTCACATAATATTTAGGATTTGACTTCAATTTTACATCCTCAATCGTCTCATTTCTTTACATTTTTCATAGCACAGTAGAAATAAAGAAACAAATGCACTACTCAAATTCTTACATCAAGATGTTGGGGAGCTGCTGTTGCCAATCCAACTGTCACTGCAGCAAGCCCTAATAATCCACCCTACACACAATAACAAAACTTTACAATCTCCTAAAAACCCTAAAATTTTCAAAAAAATAAATAGAGAATCCAAGAAATAAACCTTTCGATGATTCGTCTGCGGTGAATAAGTAAACTCCGTGGTCAAAATACTGATCACAGCGCTTATCTTCTCATGGTCGCCAGCGACCGCTAATTGCTTCACTATCCCTTCAATCTACATTTAACAGCATCCTAAACCCCTAAAAACTCAAACAAAGCCCTAAATTGACCGAAGAAACAAACAAAACCCTAAAAAATTCACACCTCGAGAGCGGCGATCTTTCGCTTCTCGTACAGCTTGTCGGCTAACCCTCGCTGGACCGTGACCGGAATCGCATCGCCCATTGCTTCGCTGTTTGATCGAGATTCAACTTTGAGATTGGTAACGGAGAGTTATTGGAGGATGACGTCAGCGTCGACGATTCACGGGAGATCTGAAGACGATGAGGAGGAAAAGAGTGGAAAATCGCCGAAGATCGGCGGTTGCGGCGGGGCTGGCGGCGGTGAGTGGCGGTGAGATTTGGGTATTTAGGGACGGAGAGTTAGAGAGTCCTGTGAGAAGACGGTGATTTTTTGGATTTAGGGCTGAAAGCTCGGACGGTCAGCGCTTGATATTAATACACGATGTATGTCAGGGCAGAGAACGGGAATACTATGCTTCTGAACCCAAAGATTCTATCTTCGTTATTATACAGCCCACAAATTTCCAAATTCAATCTTTAACCCAAAGTACCCTTATGTTTGTTTATTTTTATTTAAATCCGGTTTTTATTTCAGTGGCTATTTCAGTCAATATACTGATTGTCTAAATTGCGGTACTCAAATGTACTAGTTTGCGGTCCGTGCAAAGCACGGTTTTTTTTTTTTCTACAGTAATCCGTTTTTTTAATATGGTACGATTTGAATTTTTTGAAGTGCTGCAGTATCCCACTTTGCTACAGTACCTTTTAGCTGTTACAGTATACCCGTGTGCTGCAGTAATATTTTTAATTAATTATTAGATGCAGTATTAATGCTACAGTAAATGTTGCTGTAGTATTTACTGTAGCATGAACAGTGAATCTCTGATCCTCCTATTTGTATAAAGGAATAGATATAAGTCGCTACATTTTGGACTAGGTTGCTATATTTGATGTGACTGTGGTTATAAATGGGTTTAAATTACAACAGCTAAGTTTAGATATAAGTCAGTATGAACTGCTGTATGAATACTATGGGTTTAATGATAATCGTCAAAGTATATGGGCTTGAAAATAAATTAAATACTTTGATTTCATAAACAAACCATGAATGTTTGTCGGAAGAGACAAAATCCACCGGTTTGAGTTTTAATTAAAAACATATACGGCATCTTCGGAAAACAATACAGAAACATTTGTAAATTGCATTTAAGGCCTATGTTTTTTTGCGGAGTAGTACATGAGACTATGAGAGTGTTGTGCAGGTTTGCCGGTTGAGCAAAGAGAAAATATTAAATATGGTTTTCTGTTTGGACCTATTGGAAGTACAGATTTTTATCTGTATCCCTTTTCCTAAAATAGATAAAGAAAACAACAACAAAGAAAAACTACTCCGCTCTCATACTTTCCGGGAAAGCTATATCAATACAATCGTCTAATTTTTGGCCAGTAATTGAAGGGCGACATCCCGAAACATTCTTCTTTTCACCTTCAATCATGTATAACTTGCATATATGGTTCATATCATTTGAATCTCCACTTATATATGATACTTTTCGACCATAAATAATAATACTTGTGTTATTTTTGCATGACATTCTCATTATGATCATAAAATTTTGAAAACATTACTTTTCAACTTGTGTTTGCTTTCGAGTAAGAACAATCGAGTCAGTTGTATATACTAACATACGTTTTTTAAATTTTAAATTTTAAATTCATTTTGTATAAATTGTCATCTTCCAACCAATCTCTACTTGATCACCAGGAGCAGGAAGTAAAACACCTACTAGCATGAAAATATATCAATTTTATCAAATGTGTAGCTCAAGTTTGTCATTTCTTTACTCTTTGAGAATTGCCATTATATATTCGTGAGAATAATATGATATCAAGGAGTGGAAACTTCAAGCAAAACTAAACTGTTTTAGATGGTATAAATTTTTCTTAAAGTAATACCAATATTGGAGTTGATTCTTAAATCCAGACTTATTATAGTTTCTTCACTTTCCTCGTTTTAATCTACTCACGGAGGTAAGAATTACTAATTTTACCAGTAGATAAATGTGTCCCACAGCTTTTATGATCATAAAATGTTATGAAATGATTTATCCTAATTTTCCCCTTATTTCTGTATTTTTTATGTATTTTCAGGAGATTCCAATTTTCAAAACCCAACGTAGCGCCATTTTGCTTCGTTAAAGCCTACGAATCAAGTTTAGTTATGTTTTAAGTTGTGACTACGCCGTCTGTGGCAAAAAAAAAAAAAAATCAATAGTTATGATGTGTGTCATAGATGATTGGGAGTTGACACAACAAAAGCAAAATACATAAATGAGTTTGCTAAGTTATAGAACAAGTAAACAAATTATTCGTGTTGACAATAGAAAAACTAATAGGAGTAATCACTTTTGTTACATATGCTCACGCATTCATCAAGACTTGTAAGATGCTGGACGATAATAGTCAAAATTAACTTAATCCACTACTTTTAATATGACTAGGTTTTATACACGTGCAATGCATGTGGTTAAATACCATAATTAAGTATTTTTTAGATTATTTTCTAACTAAAATTTGTTCCTCAGTTTCACTTTAATAGCTTATGCTCACTTTTGTCTCTAAACTTTAATATTGCGATTATTTATTTTCTTTGACGTTTGTTTAAATGGGCTACACCCAATTTAAATTTTCATGTTGATATTTGAATTGATAGAAAATAAATATAATTTGAAGCTAATTTAAATTTTTATATTATTTTGACTGACATGATACCAAGCTTTACTTGAGAAAGTACAGTGTTACAAAAGTAAAAAATATTAAAATAATATTATACAAGAAAGGTGAATATTTAAAACCAATAAGTCAAAATGATTGGTTAAAAGTATACTAAAACGATACAAAAGAGAATATGAAGTTTGTTCCTAATTATTGATAGACTTCATAATAAATTATAAATTAAAGATTAATGCTTACTCTAGTATACTTTCATATGATAAAAACATCTGCACAAGCACATAAAAATACTAAAATAAGCTCATAAAACTCCCTTCTAAAGATTCTTAAATTCACTCAAAATAATTAAACTATTGTATAAAACATTTAAAAAATATTATTTTTTATTCTTTATGTTTTATTTTTTTTATTGAGCTAAAATCAATCATTTCTCACCTTTATCTTTTTTTATGGGCAATTCTAGAGTAGTGTCTTCATCATCTACTCGATTGTGACATCAGGCTAGAGTTGTATTTTTTGTGTTGTTATCTTTTTTGGGCTCGTTAATCTTTTATCTTATCATTTAACTTAACAAAGAAGTTAAATATATTTCCGATGTTCAACACAAACTTCTTAAAATACAGTGTTTGATTTTTTTTAATGAGAATAAATATTAATCACATATATATGAAATTCTTTGTGTTTCTAATTTATTACTTAAATAAGATTAGGAGTTACCTCTTTTTCTCTACAATGAGGGTGTCTTTTACAATTATTAAAACTATAGATTAATTTTAAAAAATATTAAATTTTAGCGGTCTACCAATTGACGAATTTGATGTGTGCTAGTTAAAAAATTTAAAAATTTAGAGTTTTTTTTTTACGATTTTTAAATTTTGAAGGAGTTTTTTAAAAAAATTATGGTTAATTTTAGCAAATTTTAATTTTTTAGGTGTCTAAGGGTAATATTTTGAATTCATCTTATTTTATTTACAAATTTTAGTTTGTGTTTCTAATTTATTACTTAAATAAGATTAGGAGTTACCTCTTTTTCTCTACAATGAATTCTTCCAATGTGCATCCACTAAGAGTTTCTGTTACGTCAATAATATTACATTTGCTCTATTCCTGGCATTTTTCACAAAGATCTAAACTAAATACCTGCATTTTTATTGCTAATTTTGCCTTAGATTATAATACTAATATTTAATTTCTTTAGTATTTGAAGAGCAAAGTATAAAATTTATGAATGCTTACTAACTTTTCTTATATCTTTTATAGAAAATTCTCCTTTGATTGGGATAAAGTTATTAAATTATTCTTTAATGTAACTCAGTTGTTACTTCTTTTATAGACATGCCTTATGTTAATGCCAATTCAAATGGTTTATGGACATTTTCTGAATTTTAGATTTATTTTCGTCACTTTCCCATTTGTAATGGAAATAGCTTGATTCTTTTGAAGAATATCTCTGAACATTATGATAGTATCTCCATACGTAATTTATTATATTCTTTTACTCTATAAATATTATTAACATCAGATATTAATGTTTCTAAATTATAATCAATTAATGCTAAGCTATTACATTATAGTTTTTTATCATTTTTATGGATTTAAACTTCTATCAATTAATGTTACTAATGTGTTTTGCTGCTCCAACTTATTAGTAAAATTTTATGCAGTTGCTTTAATTTATATGGTAATGATAATTTTAAGCTATAATATTTTTTAAATTTTTATTGCTATAATATTTCTATCAATTTAAATTTTTAATTAATCTTTATTAATTTTATATATATATATATATTAATGAAAGAATATCAAACAACTATATTTTTCTTTGCCAAGTTTTAAAAATTTAGCCTTTTTGTTTGATTTTAATCTTTAAGGGTGTGATTTATAATTTTTAAAACTTTAGGATCATTTTTAAAAAAATACTTTTAAGTTTGGTAGTTGTAACTTCTATGTTTCATGTGTCGGTGATAATTTTTAAATATCAATTTATTTCTTACAACTCTAAAATTTTAAGGCTGTTTTTTGCAATTGTTAAAACTATAGATTAATTTTTAAAAATTTTAAATTTTAGTGCTCTACCAATAATTTTCAGATTTGATGTGTACTGGTTATAAATTTTAAAATTTTAGAGATTTTTTATGATTTTTAAATTTTAAAAGAGTTTTTTCTATAACATTTGTAACTTTGAGGTTAATTTCGGCAAATTTTAAATTTTTAGGTTCATGAGGGTAATCTTTTTAATTCATCTTTTATTATTTGTAAATTTTAAAAATTTCAGGGTTGTTTTTTATAATTTGAACTTTTGAGTGTGTTTTTATAATTTTTTGGATATTGAGGGTGTTAATTAAAAATTTTAAATTTTTGGGAGGCTACTATTAATTTCTTGATTTCATGTTTGTTGTTTCAATGTTTAAAATATCAGAAATTTTTAGGTGTGTGATGGTAATCCCTTGAATTTATCTATGTTGTTTGCAAGTTTTGAAAATTTAGAATTTTAGGTGCTTGTTTGTAGTTTGAACTTTTGATGGTGTTTCTATAATTTTTAAGATATTAAAATGTTAACCACAAATTTTAAATTCTTCACAAACTGCTGTTAATTTTTTGATTTCATGTTTGTTGTTTTAAGTTTTTAGACGTCGAGATAGTTTTTATAATTTTAAACTTTTCAGGGTATTTTGTGTAATTTTAAAACTTTTTAGGTTTTTTTATAATACTTTATGTATTATAGTACGTTAGCTACGTATAATTTTTTTATCTTAACAAACTAATGCAATATGTTTTATATATTTTATTAATATTATTTTTTAAAATTGTTAAGCTATAAATAGTTCACATAGGATTAGGATAGGATATAATTATAATTAGGATAGATTACGATATAAATAAAATATTTAAAATAGTGAATGGCAATATTGACCATAGAAAGATTTTCCCGAACTCGTGCTTTTAAAGGGAGTATGATTTGCATATACGCTATTCATCTTGTATATATTTGTAAATTTGGCATTTAATAAATTCATTTAAGTTTATATTTCAATTTAAACTATATCATTATCTTCATACTATATATATCCAATAAGAATTCGTCAATTTATTAACTTACTATTACTTCAATGGATTAATTTGAATTTCAAGGGTATTTTTGTCTACCAAAAGATTTTCTCGAACTCGTACTTTTAAAGAGAGTATGATATGATATGATAACAAAGCTTAGGATCGCTATAGTGTTTTTTGGGCCCCATTTATTTGGCTGACAGTAACTTCACATCAAAAGAAACTCCCCTCTACACATCAGTACCAAATTTGAATTTCAAAAACTATGAGATATAGTTGGTTTTCATTGAAGGGTTTGTTTGTTTCGCCAACCACAAAAATAAAATAAAATTGAAAACATCATGGAAATCGTATTTCCTTTTATTTCTTTAGATTTTCTCAAAATAGTTGTTTTTAGTTTGTTTCACAAGGAAAACATGGGTAGGAATTTAAACTTGGAAAAGAAAACAACAAAAGACCAATTTTCACACTTACCTTTATTTAGTTAGAGATGAAACATCA